GCTGATAGTATTTGCTTTTATAATGTATTAAGCCTGTATATGATAATTAGCTTCCATAACACAGGTGATTCTGCTCTGAAAGCACAGTGAAAGTAAGACTATGCCTGTTTCCCACCTATATTTCCCAGGTGGAAGGGAGGAGGACAATCTGACAGGTGACAGGCAGCTCCATTTACAGTGACCGGTAGGTAGGACCTATTCCACCTGCACTTTTGAGTTTTTCCCAGTCAGACCTTATATGCCTGACTTATTCCTCATTCAGAGGCTGTTGTATTGATTCTAACACATTGCAGCATGAGCAAGTACGTTGCTGTAAACACAACCCAAAGGAAACTCATATAATCTATATAGTTTCTTCCCACCTGCAAAACAGCTACAGGAGCAGACAGCATCTCTCCCATGACCATGGCTTTCCCAGCATCAATTACAGGTTATCTCCTGACAGCCTTTAGTATGTCAAAGTACATAGTACATCCCAGCAGTGCTGAGGGCATGTTGCAGAAGACTTCATCCATGACTCACATGAGCTGTGGTTCATGGTTCTCCATCTATGCTTAATCCAAAGCACATAATAACCTTTCTAGTTGCTATTCACACTTGCATCAGGTAAGTTACAGGCTTCCAGTTTGATACAGTTGCTACTTGCCCTCAAACAGGAACCCCTCCAAAATATCTCCCATGGAATGTGATCAAGATTTAACAAGCCCATCTGTCTGTTCCTCCCTGGGGTTTATGGGCCTGTTATATAGTCCCACAGTTTTTCTTGACAACTAATTGACATAAACATTCGAGACATTTCTGATTACTTACCAAAGGGATTTTCTTAATTGGCCTCATTTAAGTGTGCCCCAACCACCAATAGCACACCTACCAGGGTAGAAAAGCTTCTGGTTTTGTTCTTGACACATCCCAGGTATTTCCATCATCTTATCTTAGGTCTGCTGGAAAGGGATTGCTTAACTCTGATGAATCTGACATGTGATGCACTTTATTCTGTTTAAGCCCTAGCATCCCCCTGAGGTATTCACCTTGAAACATATTTTGACATTTCTCTCCACCTTTGCAGAATTATCAGCTATGGTAGAAATAACACAAGTTGAAAATACAGTCAGTTTTTCAAGAAGAGAATTTCCAGTGCCTGGGTTTTGTTTAAACTGTTAAGTAAGAAATGTCTGTTCCCAGAGCCAGCTATTATTTTAGAAACATTAGCGATGGCTACCAGTGATGGTGGTCATTTTACATCATGGCTGTGACAAAATTGATCTGCCACTGTAAACAGTGCTTAAAAGGCAGGTGCTGTGGTGCATTTCATGTCTAGACCAGAGGAAAATTTGTGCTGCATCAAAGGTGATTTAACTCATTCTGGGGATGAATATGGGGGCCAAAACACCACTCCTTTATGTCAAGATGGTAATATTCAATGACACTGCATAATGTTGAAGTGTTCCTGGTCAGTTAAAGAAAACTAAACCCTCTTCAGGACTGAGCCAACCTGAAGCAAATTTTAGATGCTGTTGAAGTTTCCTGTACATTGTACAAACCTGAATCATTCAGCTATTCTGATTTCTCCGAAAGAAAGAAAAAAAAAAAAAAGATTGTGAGCCTCACCTAAGAAGCCTGATACTTTCCACTTTCTTTTACACAAACAAGAGGGACAAATTGAGATTGTACCATCAGCATTTGTTTCGGCATTTCAGAACTTTCAAGAATTATACTTGGTAACCCAAGCAGCATTTCAGCATGCATTTTGGATATAATGTTATATGCTATGTATAATATAGCCATAGGAGTGTACAAATGCCAAGCTATGAAAATGATTTCCCAGTTCTTTGGCAGATTCCACAGGCAGAGGGATTAGATTATGTTTTATTTCTTTCTGGTTTGTAATATGTTTAGACAACTGAATGACTTTTCATTTGGTGCTTGTCCTGCAATTCATTTCCCATATCCTTCATTTCAAACTTGTGAGGCTTTTTTCAAAATATAGTGTATTGTGCTTTGTCCTCCCTTGTCCTTCCATTTATGGGGAAGGAGGACATTCCTAATGCCTGTAATAATTAGTGTATCTGCCAAGGGCTTCTTACTGCAGAAAGCTCTTTGTTAGCCTGGTATCCAAGCTCTCCTTATGAATACAGAGAACAAAAGCTTTTCTTCCACTCCCAGCGTGACCAGATTTGAAGGCATTGCAGCAGAACTTCAACAGGAACAGATCAGTGCAGGTCTGCTTAGATCAGTGTAATACAGTTTTATGCCAGAGTGTGATCTGGACATCTGTGGAGACCATTTGCTTTGTTACTTGAGGTCTGAAGGGGCTGCGGTGATTGATGGCACTTTTATGTGAACACTGATTTAGCAAGGGGCCCTGGAATGGTGAACACAGCCACTGTTTACTTCATTTGTCAGAAAATGACAGAATCCCTGAAAAAAATTGTTTCCATAGGCTCTGAATCTTTCCTTCATTATTAATGGATGCCATTTTTCCCAGCAGAACTAAGCCACCATGCAAAGTCACTGCAGTGGTAGAGGAGACAATCATTTAGTGAGCTACTTCCTTGCCAGGCAATGAAAACCAATACAGCTTGACTGGATGCTGTTCACTGAGCAGTCAAGTAGAGCAGTGGTGGCAATCTGGGGTCCTATATACAATGGTGGTAGCCTTCGCTAGTGAGCAGGAGCAAGCTGAACCACTTTCATAACTTCATTCTGAATCACACTTCAACTCTAAATAGATCAAAATCCTGTAGAAATTACCAGAAATGACAAATATAGGGTTTCTGTTGCCAAGTGCTCTATGTTGGGAGACTGGGATATAACATTGTGGCTAACTGCCCATGGAAATTATCATTTATCTTTTCAGGAAAATGCAAGTAGTGATCCTGCTATTGCAAAGTGATCTGAAGCAGTACCTCTCTATTTTGTTAGTCTAGCCATTGATTAGTCAACCACACACCCCACTTCAATTCTGACTAGCGGGACAGGACCTCTCAGTCTGGAGTCTGTCCTGTCTGGGTACGGTTTCAGGCAGAAGCTATTGATTAGGCACCAGACTTAGCCAGGAGCTCGGAAAACACAGGGTGAATGTTTCAGACTTGGTGTAAGAGGCTTTCAGAGCTGGCTCTGCTGTTAACATCCTCCCACTCATTCCCCCATCACTTTATATGCACATTATGGGACACAGCAGAGAACTGAAGCTACTCACATGAACAATATTTTATCTTCTGTGCTGCATAAAAATATTCATAAATTTTCTTATGGTCTTTTGATCTGGGAACTCTCATTTTAAAGCACCCTGGTGACATTTTTGATTTTACATTAACCTTGGAAGAAGGGTCTGGCCAGGATCACCTTTGGTTCTCTAAGGTACAGGAAAAGAGTAACACTGGCTGACGGGCTGACACTGAAAACTGCATTCTGCCCTGGAGCATACAAATGCCTGCTCTACCTGCACCGTCTCATAATATTTCTTTAAAAATAAATAAAGAAACCACATACTGTCAAACAAGCTAGTGACTTAAATTATGCAGATTGTAGATTAGTAAAGCCTTTCGTCTGAGCTAAAGCGCACATAGCACTCTACAGAAGAGTGAAAAGAAACAAATGAAGATGCTGTGAAAGATATAAGTGGCTCCAAGCCATGATATGTGCTAATACTCTTCAGTTTCTCCCCCCCCAGGTATTTTTTAAATCAGTTATAGCTAAGTCAGGAGACTCTTTTCTAGATATACACAGCTTGTTTTAAATGTAATCTGCCTTCAGACCTCACAAGAAGCAGGTTTGCATTTTTTGTTAGTATTCATTTCTACCAGCATCAAAAAAGGACTGTAACAGAACAAAACAACACTGAGAAACTTTATAACACAAGTAAGGCTGTCTAGGCTATTTAACTACAAGAAAGCAACTAACTTTCAAACCTTGACATAGATTTCATTTGACAGATTTTTAGGTGAAGGCTTAAATCCTCAGTTAGTTATGAGAGAATTGCATGTTTTTGCTCTCACTGGATAGCATAACTCTGAGAAATGCCTAAATCTGAATTAAGATGATACAGCTCTGGTGATAGCCTATCTAACCTTGCACTTCTGAGCAGATTCAATGGAGTTAAACTGATGTGAAAGTTGAAGCTCAAGCCTCATACACTGAGTAGATTTGATGGATAAAATACTAGGTAACTCCAAACCCGCTGATTCCCACAGATACTCTGCTGTCTGCACCAGATGTTTCTTTATATTTTATATATTAATAAAATGCAGTATGTATAATGTAGCACATAGACTTGGGAATACCAAATATGCAAAGAACTCTGGTGGGAGAAATTAATTAAGTACTGTTGCTACTAGGATGCCAGTTTGTGCCTCCAGCAGCTTGCATTTGCACCATTATGCTTACCTGCTTGAGCAAACAGATGCTTTGCTTTAATTTAGTCCTATGATTGGTAATCTCAATCTACATCAAAACTTTCCTTAGTTGGGTTTTCGGCCAGTTTACCAACACACTGCCATAGTTCATCTGTGGACAGATCGCAGAGCCAGTTACATGCACACATTCTGCACAGGTTGAAGATGAGCAGATTTAAAGCCTTTGTTACGTCCAGGAGGCACTGCAAGCAAAAATGACAAATACTCACAACCCTTCTGTGAGGAAAGCACATGAATATAATATTTACTCATTTACGCATGTGGAAATAGAAGTACATTTTTCCATTATATGAAAAGAATAATAGTTAAAGTAAGCAGCCTATGCTTGGTCTGTTGCATACCGTGGTAATGAGTGCAATGGGAAGACACTATGCCATCCATATCAAACAACCTCACACTGGGACAAATAGAGCTAATGAAGGAAGGTAGAGGTCTCCTAATACCTTTCTTTCTTGTGTTTTCCTTCCTCTCTCGCCTCTTCAAACCAACAATTCTGGAAACTCACAAGGTCTTTTTTATAGGAAAAAAATTTATGTTGTGTGCTCATGAAACATTATGGGAATATTTGTTGTTTATGTCTTCCAGAAAATTATATTGATGTGCCTCAAGATGGGAGAGGTAAGATCAGATTTCAAGGAGCAGCTTTTAAGAAAATCAACTAAAGGACAAGAGCTGAAAAAAGCTGAAAAATGCAGGAAAAAGAAAGACTACAAGAAGAAGACTGAGCAAGTCCCTTGAAAAGAAACACCAGGCAGACAGCTTCTATAGGCAAACAATATAGAAAGAGTTTCCAGAAAAAAAGCAGTCTGTAAGCAATATTCTAATTCTAGACTGACAATATTGTCTCTGAAAGAAAGCATCATATTTGACAAAATGCTCAATAGGAAAAAAATTAAGTTGCTCTGGCAAATCCACATAAAGGTGGGAAAAGATCACTAGACAAACCTTTGGTAGACAACATTCCTTTGCCTCCCCATCCATTTATTGCCATTTGAGCCTAATCTAAGTGTCAGAATACTGAATGTGAGTTTTTCCAAAGTTCTCTGGTGAAAATTTTGTCACAATAAGGTAGATGCTGGCAATTCTCATTAGTGTTAACCATATTGCCATATGCATTACAAGGTAGAGTGAATCCTTTTCATCGAGTCAAACTGCATGATATCCAACATTTCAACCTTAATACACATTTGAAGATAATTGGCAATGATTCTGTTAAGACATCAAACATCTGAGCACATATTAGCTTCAGCTTCACGCACCCTCGTGAAGAGGGGAGCTTTATTAAGCAGCAATACAGACACCACCCCCATTCTCACTGAAGCTGAAAGAGAAGCAGCAAAAAATAACAAATCAAAGTACTTTTTAAAGCAATAATACCATTGTCCCTCTACTTTACAAGGCAATAATCAAATTCCCTCTGCCACCAACTGTCTTTAGAATTTACCCCTCACAAATCTAAGAATTCATTTGTAAGCCAGAAGGGCGATGATGATACTACAGAAATATGGAGAGTACTTGGTCATTAAGTTGCAATAGCTTGACCTAACTTTCCACAATACAGGTTTATTTCAAAATGACACAGTACCAATTACATGAGCAAATCCTGTGAAATTCAATTTAAGATACATACATGGAGAACCTGGCAATGACAACCAACAGAAGAGTTAATCTAGAAATCATAACACAAAGCCATGATACTGCCAAATTAATCCTTCATGCCTAACATTTTTTTCCAGCAAATCTGAATAACTTTAAAATAACCACATATTTTACCTTATAACCAACATAAGGATCACCTTGTCAATAAATAATCAAGTTTTCCTTTCTACCTTTTTGATTAGGTTAAATATTAGTCTTCTGTTGAACTCAAGAGGGATAGACTACTGAGTGATTTAAGCTTACTTACAGCTACCAGACTGCATGATAGTACATGACTGAAATCACACAAGAATAAATAGTGATGGGCGCCCCAACAAGGCTGGAGACCACAGAAGTGCCCAGTCTTTGAAGAAGACTTAATCTGAGTAGGATACCAATACGTGCATTCCCTCTTCTTTGCAAACCAGCTCATAAAAAAAAAATGTCAAGTATCACCAAGTAAGGGCAGGCAACAGCAAATAAGGAAGCATTCTAATGCCACAGGTGTGAGTACCACCCTGCAGGCATTAGACTCCATCCTGCCCTAGGCAAGCTTTAAGCCTGGCCTATTCTCACTTTTCACAGAAGCTCCTCCTACCCACCTCTGCATACAACTCATCTTGTACAGCCATAACAGAGCTGCTACAGCACAACCGGGGTGTTTCACATTGCGAGAAACATAGCCCTTCAAATCAAACAGAGTCAGTATTTTTTAAAACTCGATTCACACTAAGCCTAGGAGATTCTAGTTTTCTAAAGAATATATTTCACCAGAGCATTGCAGAACTATTCAGAGCAATTCAGCTGGGAACAAAGAGGATGCCAACAAAAGACATGCTGTAAGTAGCTTGCAGATACTGGCAGGCAGTCCAAACTGCTCTCTCCTTGATGATGAGAGCCTCTACATGGAAAGGGTAGGTGGTCCTGGCAGTGAAAGAGCTGAACCTGTAAGCTGTACCACCATACTATTAGTGCCAGCTTGCAAGAAACACAAAGGAAACCAAGCAGCTGGAAGCAATGCCATCCACGCTTCTAACAGCATCATGTCTTCCCCACACTTCTCATTAGCTCCAAGATCCATAACCCCTTGCAAACACTCAGCAAAATACATATCTACAGTAATCAGTCTTACCTTGGGAGCTTTGCAGTAACTGTTTGCTTCTTTTACCTTCTACCAGCACCTACTTTCATTGCAAGTAATGACCGCCACAGAGAGCTTTGTAAAAAGCTTATGTTCATGAAATAATTTGTATTAGATACTGGTTTGTGTGAATTACTTACTGTATTTTGTAAGGGTTTTTTTCCCTTTGGGAATTGTGCGTTATTAATGAGCAGTTTTATGCTTTACTTCTAGTATATGTATACCTTGTAATTGATGTGCTTTTTGTTTGTTTGTTTTCTTTTATTCTCTATACAGAGCCAGTTAATATAAGGTAGATAATCTCTGTTTGAAATTCTGATTTTGCCTACCAATTAGTTTAGGGATAAATCCATGTCATAGCTGATAAAGCACTGTTCATCAATTGTGTTGTTATAATAATCTGATAACCTCTCCAGTTTACCAGAGTATAAGATCCTGAATAATACTAATGCTCATTGGGCCTTAAAGTAAAGGGAAATAATGTTTCCCTACAACCATCACTATTGGCCCTTCTTCTGTAGTGCTTGGGACATTGTTAAGACAGCACTAGCTAGACAGACACCTGAACATCTCAACCATCTATGTAGCCATGCTCTGATAGACTTCTGCATTTGCCTGATAGAAATCATGATGACCCAGATAAACTGCAATGAATTCTTCAACTATTTCTGCAGAAAGAGACTCATTCAAGCACAGTGCTCCTCTGAAAGAAAAAAAAAAAAAAAGGACTAAAATAGATATATAGATATATTTTCCGCTATGTCTATCCTCATATGGTTGGAAAAATAAGGGAGCTAAAATTACCTCTTACAGAAGTGTGCAGTTCCATTATACACCTTATTTAACAATGGCAGCTCTCTGTCTCAGTGTCTGTTAAAGAATTTTATGCTCCAGAAGACTCCTGCCTGGTCCAACTCATTTTTTCTCTTCAATTTTTCTGAGAACTGAGTGTCCAACTTCGTAATAATGGCAGTGTATAACATAGGACATAAAAAGATGAGTTATAAAGCTTGGGCAGGACTTGATGTTGTAATTAACTATCTTTTTTGCCTGGTTATCAATCTTATAAAAACACAGAGTGAAAACAATCCGGCCTCTTAATGTATCCTTCAGCATATTGTAGCAGATATTTTAGATAACTGTTTTTAATAGTTTTATTATGGTTGTAACTTCTATATGAGGACTTTCCACTTGAAGAATAGATGAAGTAACATGTCGAAGTAATTTTTGAAGTCAGTTCTATTTTGCCACCAGTGATGGTGCATGAGGAGTAAAGCAACAAAACCAAAACCTCACTCTCTCACCAGGATGAAACATCTTTTCTCAGCCTTGAAAATTCTCTTATGTAAGACAGGCATTTCTTCAAGTCCTCCTTTTAGACATATAGTAAATCACTAAGAAGATAATAGTCAATTGTCAATTTTAATAGTCAGCAGTCAAATTCTGGGCTAATTAAGCTAACCAGAAATTCTAGGGTTGCAGTGATTTCTCACTCTTTATTAATACATTGACAATAATACTGTTTACATAACACTTGATGTTTGAAATCTATATGTATCAGTGTCCAGTGATTTGCTAACCTAGATTTTGATCTAATCTTGTCCTATGTTTTTGCAGCATTCTCTGACTTCATATTATGAATCATGTTGTCGTCTAAAGTGATTGCCAAGTAAACCAAAAATGTGTTTTACACTGCTATTGCACTGCTCTTGTCTTTATATACAGTAGTTTTTATAAAGATGTCCTTAGGTTTTAATAAATGAGTGTAACGTAAACTAACCTCTGTAATAAAACTTGCTTTAGTGTTTCAAAAACTGTTTGGAATACCTGTAGAGATTTGAGTTTCTACTTTTTTCAGTAGTCTCAAACTTCATGGCTTCTTCTCCATCTGCAGGGAAATCCCCAACTACTAATATTCCACAGTTTATAGAATTGATTTCTATGAGGGGAAATGAAGAGAGTGTATTTAATGCAAAGAATGATGCTTGGCTTTGAAGGAGTTAAAAAAAAGCCACCCCCACCCCCCCCCCAACAAATAAAACACCAAAAAAAGAAGGCTATTGGTCATTGCATAAATAAATACATGGTTCATTTGCTCTTCATCATATTCTAGCAGCTGCTAATACCAGATACTTAAGAGGGAAGTGTGGGGTACTGAACAGAGACTGCTAAGAAATAAACAGTCTTTTCACTACTAAAGGTTAGCTAAGAAGGCCAAACATGCAACTGAGCCAAAAGAAAGCAACATTCTGACTTCTACACACAAAGGACTGTCCCATACAATGTTATGCTCAATCCACATGCAAAGCTGAGGCAGTGACAAATACAGTTTAACTTGCTCTATGCAGAAAAGCAGGACCAACAATTCACAAAGGCAAGAGAGTTTTGGTTTGTTCTGGTTTTCCCCTGACAGGCTGAAGGATCTGGACAGTTTTTCCAGAAAGGCTTAGACTTGCAAACACACTCAGGTTCCTTTGTCACTTCATGCTTAGGAGGCATCTTTGTCGATGTTCCAAAATACTAAGCATTCCGAGCTGAAATTTTGTCTTTCAGACTGGTAAAAGGGAACCTTTTTGACAACTGGATTAAGCACACGTGCACAAAAATTACACACAAAAAAAGTTGCTGTTTCCTATTGGTAGTTTTCTTATGCTTACAGTTTCTACTCCATTCACTCACTCCTCACAAAAATTTCAGTAATACATGGGAGACTAGGACCTAACACAGTAAGTGGCCAGAAGGGAGTCCTTGAAGGGCTTCTTGACTCTCAGTACCGGTTGCTTCCCCAGACAGAAACAGTTCTTGCTCTGCTCTGCCCTGCTTCCTCCAAGCGTAAGTTTTCCCCAGCTGTTGCCCTGTCCAGGACTTGCCCTTCTTAGTTCATCCCAAATCCTTGGTGGTGTCATAGTTTAATTCCAGCCACAACTAAGTACCACACAGGTGCTCACTCACTCTGCCTTACCTCCTTTAGTAGAATGGGGAGGAGAACTGGGGAAAAATAAATAAATAAAAAATGTAAAATTTGTGGATTGAGATAAGAACAATTTAATAAATAAGGTAAAACATAATAATAACAGGGAAAAGAGAGATGAGAGAAAAAGAAACACAAGTGATGCACAACATAATTGCTCAAGAACTGCTGACCTATACCCAGCCCGACCTGAGCAGCAACCAGTTCCTTCCAGGTAACTCTCCCCAGTTTACATATTGGGCATGACGTGCTGTATCTCTCCTCACTGGCAGAGCATGAAGAGACTGAAAAGTCCTTGATCGGGGTAAGTGCTACTTAGCAATAAAACCATCAGTGTGTTATGAGCACTGTTCTAAGACTAAAGCCAAAACACAGCACTGCACCAGCTACTGAGAAAAACAAAACAAAACAAAAAACAACTTTATCCCAGATGAAACTAGGACAGATGTCAAAGTGAAATGCTGGTATTTACAAACACAGGATGTGTTTTTTCACATTAGCAATTACGCTTTCAGTATCAGATAACTAACCCCAGGCTGTGCTGCAGAAATACACCTAAACAGTCAAAAATACAGACATTTCAAAGGCAGATTAAAAAAAAAAATAAAAAGAAAGAAAATATGATAAATCCTTTGCAGTGTCAGTTTTTTCATGTTACATATCTCATTCTTGCAGCTCCTCTAATCTAACTATACACATCAGCTCAAAAATGGGTAAGCACCATTTTCATTAAAGCAATGCTTCAGAATTTCTTAAGGTTTTTTGAAGCTCCAAGACCACAATTCATCCCACTGTGCTAAGATTTATGGAGACATATTGCAGACGTTAAGAGAGGACAAAAGAGTTTTAAAAACAGATACGTAAAGATATAAATAATCACACCCTGCTCCCACTCTCAAACTGCCCTTGCAATTATGAAAACAGCCAGATTTACAAGAAAAATTAGAAGAAAACCAGTAAATTGATGTATTAGGTGCGTTACAGCTCCCTTACCAAGTTTCAACAATTTTTACAGTGCACTTCTAGTAACTGAATAAGAATTGTATTCAACACATTATGCTCAGCAGGAATAGCTTTTATATACCAAGTGAGCAAATTAAATATCTCTGGAACTTCCATAGGAGATATAAAAATGCTGATAATGACTTACAGACTGCCATTACCAAGTTATTATCAGTGAATCATAAACAAACAGGAGCATCACAGCCAGTTCCTTTAAATTGTTTGCTCTTACTGGAAAGCAGAGACAGCACTGATCTGCTTGTTGTTCACATGCACAAAAGGGCAGGAGAGAAAATGCATTTCAGTTTTGATATTTACTTCTAAGAAAACAAAAACCACCACTCTCACCCAAGTTATTCTCAACAGTTAATTTAGTTTGTGCAGAAAATGGAGACTGGGGTGGAAAAACACACTGATGTATTAGGTATGTGTGGACATTCATGTAGAAGCGGATAATCGCTTGACTTTCTCAAGCAGAATTTTAACTCTCTGCTTTGAACAGCTGAATTACACAGAGTCTCAAGCTCTTACCAAATCTGAGTTCATAATTTCATCCTTAAGTGCAATTCCATTACTGATGTTTATTTCTGAGACTAATGAGGAATCAGTAGAATTTTATAAATTAATAAAAAGTCATCTAAAGAGAGGGAAACCCTTTTGCCTCTCTTCCCTACACTTTCATGAGCTAGACTTTGCACCTTTCTTCTTCTTATACTTTTCTAACAAAATACAAATTGGAAACAAAGCATCCTGCTGAATCTCTTACATTCGCCAAGGATAAATCCTTCCTGAAGCATGTGCTCTCCCAGCTTCCCAGTGGGAGCAGTCCACACTTCCCCAGTGGCTTGTGCTCATGATGACAACTAAAGCAACACATTCTGTCTAACACAAGGTGTGTGCCTGCATACTCATCTTGGTTATTGTGCAAGCCTGCTTTATTTTTAGATATTTTATTTTCCTTTTTTTGAAGCTAGGGAATATTAACGTAACATTTCTCAATCATGTCTCTGCCTCCTTATCACTCACACTCTTGTCCCACTGGAATGAGATATTTGTCTCACTGTTGGCTCTTCCACAGCTCATCAGGGAAGGCAGACTTAAAATGAAGAGGCTGCATGCATCAGTAAAGTTTTGGATAAGAGCTGCTGTGAGTCTCAGGCTGCATTCTGGGCCATGAGGGGTGTCAGCACGTGAACACAAATAACTGTTGCTTTGTCACCAGCACCAATTGGGTTTAAATTTTTAGCTTTGACAACAAACAAACAATAAAATCTTGATCCAGGTTATATATGAGAATAGTCTCGTCTTGGCCAGCTAAACTCTACTGTTAATTTAAAGCATTCTCCCAAATTACTTTTTTTTATTATTATTAATTTTGGTTTTAATGGCATTGTAGTCACTGCTGAAAAAAGGCCTGTTTTTTTCATGTAGGGCTGTTGAAAATTATTCAAATCTTAGAACTATCTAAAAAGCCATGTTGCTTTTGACCTTGAGGTTTTTGCCCCCAGTATAGGATATACCAGCTCCTTTCTCCAGTATTTGCTAGTCCAGGAGTCTATTATATCACTGATAACCAGTATTGTGCAATATCAAACTGTTCACTGCATAACCACCTTTCTCTGGTTCTTGTCTGGATTTTATTAGATTTTATGTTGCAAAATGCTGCTGGGCTAGGTGGTAGCACAGTAGGAAGTACCACCTCTAGTTAGTGATAGCTGAGATTTGCTGTATAAACTCCATTATCATTTTTACCACGCAGTGCACCTTCTCTTTCCCTGAATAAACAGGCTTTAAGCAGCCACCAGGAAAAGCCAGTTGGGAATTTACCTAGCAAGGAGACACACCAACCCTGTGCTGTATGTGCTATTATCATGCAGATACAGAAGCACAAAGACATTTCACAACCTTGCCCATTCTCTTCATTAACCACATGGATGCTTAAGCGCATTATCTTTAGCTAAAACAAAAAGCCCCAATCCTAGGAAAAGGACTCACAATACTATGAGTCTCACACATTTTACATTTTGTTATACTACTGGCACAAACGCCACATGAGTAAAAAGCACTGCTTAAACCCACAGGCAAATTTTTACTGAGTTCCTGGACTGCAGTGAGTGGCACAGCAGGTGACTTTGGTTCCTTCTGCTGTGTAGCCATCATTACTCCATTTCGTATCTTTTTCCACCACTGCCCATATACAATGAGCTACTTATTCACCAATAGCAGACAGTGCTTTTTCACACACCATTGTCCTCCCAGTCAGCACATGAATACTTTTCAGCCAAGACATCAGCAGCGGATGGCCTTGGTTGAGGGCCTGTTCCTTTTTCTCAGGTGCTTGAGCCCCACAGTAACAAAAGGGATACCACAGACTTTCAGAAGTGCCTGAAACTGATTCAGGACTGGAATTAAATAAGAAGATTTGGACTTCTTGAATGCTGTATCTTCCTCTTTCAATTCTTCCTCCCATTTCCCAATGCTTAGACAACAGGAAATCAGGCCATGCTGTTACATGGGAGTCCAATATTAAGAAATCTCCTTTCTCCTCGCCCACAGCACAGATAGGTACACACTAAAGTTTCTAGCATCCTTTTGAAGAGACACACATTCCATGTTGTCAGGAATGGACAAATTGGACAAAGCCAATTTTCCATTTCACTTCTCCTCCCTGGCAGTTAAATGAAGGCTACTTAGGCTGGACCATTTTCTTTACTCACCATCTTTCTCCACTTGGTGCAAAATGCCCATTCTCCCCTCCAGCCCCATGTTTGTAGCCATGTTTGTACAGGCCTTCTAGATGTGATGC